TATATTTTTATGAAAAACTACAGCATGTTTCGACAAAAGCCGACAAATGTTATTGCCGCTTTGCTTTAATTTTCATCCGCAAGCCCTCTTCTTCAATTATGTTCACTTTGACAAATTCGCAACAAAATCAATTCCTAAGCAGCAATCTACATCACTTGCACTCTATGAAATTCACTCGAGTATAAAGTAAAGAGATTGCTTCGAACCGTCCGTATCGGACACAGCTATGAACTTTCATAAGCAAAAAGCTTGTCTTTCGGACAAGTTTAAAAGTAAATTTGCCATTTAAGCTCGAACTTTGCCCTGTTGGGAATCCGTCGCGTTTAACTCCTTTATCTGCTGATCTCATTTCTTTTTTCCGACGAGACCTCGACACATTTCATTTGCTCTTCGAGACATTTATCATCCCTGAACTGCAGAGATTACCGGCATGAGACACACAGTATACTTCCACCAGCTGAGTAATGTTCGTGTTGAATCGGAACGAGCCGCTCGATTGTTGCAGGAATTATTCCTGCTACTAAGCGTTTCACTTAGCCGAGTCACAGACAGATGTTACGTAACATCTAGACGATCGATGCTTCGTCCACGCAATTTCAATCGCGGATAAAAATAGAGTGCAGTCGGAAAAGTTTCAGAAACTATAATAATCCGCTACTAGAAAGTTCTCAAAACTGATAAGCTTAATAAATCGTAAATTAACTAATTCCGTTCTGATATCTTCCAATTCATTTCCGGCGCCGTTAAGATCAATAAAAGAAATCGTAATATATTATGGGTATTCCGGAGGTTCCAACTTGGAGCCGAGCAATTTGTATACTTCACGGTATCCATTGAACATGCAAACATGTGTTTATTTTCATGATCTAATCAAAATACAGGATTCCTGGCAAGTTGCCAGCTTGCGCTTACTATTAATGCTCTCGCATGTAATATCCTCGGCGAAGATGGCCATATTCACGTGGTTTTATTTTTCCGTCCACGTGCCACGATCGACCACCGATGAATATCAACGGGAAAAAAGAAGGAAGAAGAATGCAACCGATAGCAAATTAAGCTATTAGTACACAGCACGTCAAACCCGCCCACCTGGTCAAAGACCCGCTTGATGATGGCTTCCACCGGCCTTGGCCTTGCTCGCTTCAACTTGACCAAATAATAAAAAGTGCGACCAGAATTCGTGAAATAAAGCAAAAAAAAAACGGCTAGTTTGGCAATCAACTCCGGAAAAATCAAACCGACCGGTAACTATTTTGAAACAGTATAAATATGATTAATCAAACCAGTACAATAAATCACTATTTCAAAAAAACATTTCATATTCAAAATTTTGCCAAAAACCTATAATAAATTGTGTCAAACATGCGCTCGTACTACTCTTTGATAAATTTATCAACACTTAGTCGTACGCTTGTTTCCCCAAGATCCAACTAAGTTGGCGATGATGGAAAAAGCGTCGTTCAATGGGTTTTTAAGTATGGTGATATATAATGCAAAAAATCGGTACTTTGTAGTCCCGTTGTTCTTCCACATATCATTCACAATAATGAGAACGAATTTCCACATCAAGAAATAGTAATAAATTAGCTTAATTTATAAACAACGTATAAAAATGTGAACGCATTATATTGATTTAAAAATAACCAAGTTCCAAATAAACGACGTATAATTTAATTTAGACCAGAGCAACGCAAACATTCTCAACTAGACAGTCACGGGTGGACCACCAGGAATCTCGAAAAAAAAACTGGGAGCGCTGTGAAAATATTTATTTATCAGAGAACAATTTTATTTATTTCTTATGTATCCGCAAAGCGAAAAAAAGATTTATGACTTGTTAAAAGTAAAAACAATTATGTCAATTATTTGAATGAGTAAAATGTATATTTTCGTGTTTCCTTCTTTTATACAATGATTCAAAAATAGCTATTTACGATATTATACCGGTAGCAAGATTTTTTGGCTGCGCCAGTACTTTACAGGTCGAGCCGTAAGGCGAAAACAAACTAGAGAAGGTTATACAATTTTTTAAAATTTGGAATCGAGTTCGTATCGGATTATGTACGTAGGTATTATTGATTGCATCTTAGAGACGCAGGCCTCGTAAAATTATGTAAAACACCCTATATAAAGAAGAAAATGTATAATACGAGTTAAATTTTCTTAATGTTTCTTTGATAGCTTAATATTACTGAAATACATGAAACTGGAACTTACACTGTTACTTGTCTGTGCCTAAATGCAGTCATTTAATTAATTAATTAATTAATTAATTAAAACCATTTCCAAAACCTGAGAGACTTTCCACTATGCATACAGTTTATATGTGACTCTTGTAAAAGATAAAAAAAATCATGATTTAAATTTTATTTTTTTGGAATCCAATCTAACATAATTTTAAAATTCTCCATTTTGTCCTATCCCAAATTTCGAAATCATCGGCCAACCACGATTTTTAAAAATTTTTTATGTTTATTTCACAAATCATCTTTTTTTATTTTTAACAGTACATTCATTATGAATAAAAAAAAATCACTTATTCATATAATCATTTTAAAGTATTCGTTACCAAAAACAACTATCTTGAAAAAAAATTTAAAAATCATAGTCGACCGATGTTTTTAAAATTTGGATAAGCCCCTATACCATCTAGACCGGCCTAGATGTTGATTCTAAACAACCTTTCTTAATAACTGTTTATTGTATTTGCCACATAAAAGACACTTTACAAAAAACTGTTATTTTTTTTTTAAATTCCAAGATATTTTAGCCAAACAGTGGTAAACCCCAAAAAATAACAATTTAAATCGAGAATTTGTTATCTATTACAGTATTACAAGAGTTGTGTCACCTATCCGCGGACAAATGTATACTCGTATTTTATAAATACATATATTCCAGCATGTATAATAATAAATAATGACTTTATTTTCACACTTTATGCTACAAACGAAGCTAAAATCAGCTAGTTGTAATAACCACCAAACTTCCAGACAAGAGGTTTTGACAGCTTTAATATATTCAATAATGTATTTTTTACCCAACAAACTTAACGGTGTTGTAACCACGCAAATTATCTTCTTGTACATTTTACAATTCCTAACTGCAAGTTTATGAAAGTTTAATTAAAATTTGTTTCTACGAACAGTGAAAATTTAATTAATTCTCAACTTATTTATTTTAGAAGTTCTGTCTCTTTAACAAATCTGTAACCGATTTAAAATTAATTTTAGCATACGGTATTAATAAAACTAACCGCCGTTCAATACCATCAGCTGCTTAGAATAAATAGATCACATATTTTAACGAGCTATTAAAGACCTGAGGCGTATTACGGTCTTTATATTTGATGTGGCATTAAGTACTAAGCTTAAATAAACACTTGAATCAATTTATCCATCCGCGATTTATATAATGTATTATAAGCAAGAACACGCACACATTCTATAAATTACAAACATCCTTGCATCACAAAAAGCAACCGTTAGATTTATACCGAAAAAAATATACGAATAAGACCAAGTTCGAGAGTGGATTTGTTATTTAGAATCTTACAAGAATTGAGAAATAAAAAATTCATGACATTTTGTTCCTTACTGCACAAATACACAAACCCAAAAACGAATTACGAGTATATCCACCGGAAATTAGACAAATCAACCTCATACTTATGTGATGAAAGGATTTGTGACGACAATGTCAACATGTCGTTCCGCATCGCACCAGAAATTGAAGGATTAACCAATGATAAAGCTGTCGTTTTCATCTGACGTCCTCTTAATCCAGTTTTACAAAACCTCATCAAGCGATAATTATTGAAAAATTCCACTTCTAATCCACTTATACTAAAGTAAAGTCATTGCTCGAACGGTGCAACTGAAAGTATTTAAATACGTGACGCTTTTGGAAATATCATAACAACCAACAGGTATTGGTGCAACTTGCCATTTAGAAAATGCAAAGGCGGTTAAACTTGGAGTTTTATTTGTCGACATGTAGAGTTGTTTTGTGTTGATTCATGCAAATTTAAACAATTTGTGCCTTTCAAACTGGTTCAGTTTAGGATATTTGATCACAAACCGTTATTTGCCACGATTCTCTGTAATGAAATTGGCTTTAACAAGTTAAACAACAAATAATTCTGACTTTTGAACGAAATTACAAAGGCCTTCACCAGGATGTTATTTTTTTTTAAAACCTTAATTCCAAAGCGGCTACTGGACAATAGGTTGTAAAGTTAACAATATCCAGCAGCAAATGATAAATCATAAACTAATAAGTAATTTAGTACTAATGAAAAGGTAATTAAAAATTAATAACCAGCCATATTACGCGTTACGCAATTTTATGATTATGACGCATCCATTACAAAAAGGTGAAATAAAAGCTGTTACCACACTAGTTTTCTAAGCATAATTTATCTTCAAAAAACTTACAAAAGCTTCCATTTTCGGAGCAAAAATAATTCATTCATTTCCCTATGAATGTAGTTACTATTCACTTTTACACTCGCGTTAAAACTCTAGCGTTTATGTCAGGTAATTCGACTTTTATGAAACTATAAATTAATAAGTCCACTAAATCGCAGCTACATGTGGCAGAATTGCAAAATTGAATTTTTTTAAAATCGTTTTACAAACTTCGCCTCTCAAAACCAATTTCAAGCCTTTCTGTTTTCATTTTTCCCATCCCGAATGTAATCCGGATCTGGCTAACACCCTCTAATTAACGTTCGCAACCAACCGCCGCAAGGAAGTTTATATCTCTAATAAACACTAAAAGACATAAAATGACTGTGTAAATAAACACACATGCGGCAAAATATATAACGGACGTTCATAAGCCGGTTTTTGCAAGAAACGAAATGCTTTATGGCTAATTATGACAAGGAAGCAATTACAGTTTCTTAAAAATTACTATGATAACGACACAGACATAATATACGGATTAGCATAGCTTTCAAGCGATAAAAAACTAGGTATATAATAAAAGAGACTTACCTTAGCGAAATCTATTTTCAGAGTACAACATCCTGAGTAGATGTCGGCTCCATTTAATGTTTCTTTTGCTCTTACGGCCGATTCTACGCTATCGAATGTGTGGAAAGTTAAGGAAAGTCATGCTTACTTTCTATGAACGCTAATTAGTGCGAAAATAAAAACGATTATCTACATGTTACCCGTGACAGTGTAAAATAATACATTCAATCTAAAGTACAAGTTCAATTATCTGTCTTAGGGCAACTGTAGAAATCGAATTTTTCAAACAAATTAATATGTATTCAAGGATATTCAACCATAGCTTGTACACCATTTTTCTTAAATATGACGATCCGTAAAACCTGGCCACTTGCTTGACAGATCGTGTGTAGAACATCCTGAAAAAAAAACACAAAGCTTTATTACAATCACCAAAAATTTCAAAATGTCGGTACAATACACAACTATAAAATGTTAACACACCTGTTTATAAAAACAAACTGTGCTTAAATAATCACACAAAGTAAACAAAAGATAATATTACACACGACAAAACTAAATTATAATGTTACAATGCAGATTATCACATCTGGTTCAAGTTTCTTATAAACAAACTTCCGTTAAGTAGGTAAGGCTTTGAACATCAACAAGCTTCTTGAATTGACACTAAATTTGGATGAAGGTTGCGATTTCTTTAACAAAGAAAAATTAACCAAAAAACGTTTAATGTCTGTTTCCTGTTATATCTTGTCTTCTTCAGGTTTACATTTTACAGTTTCCCTAATAAAATGTAGCATTGTATAGATTTCATTACATCAATTTGCAAGCATTTTCGTTACAAAGGAAATCTGCCAAGCTCTGCACAATGGCAAAGTACGAAGTAATCAGCTTGCACCTGATTCGTCGGACATACAAATTTCCGGCTATAAAATCCTCAAATATCGACGAATGAAGACAAAACGTGTCAGTCTTGTCACACGCAAAACAATCCTAATGAAATATTTGTCAAGGTCCTAATTTACGTGCGAAAGAAGCTTGTGTTCCAGTTAAATCTAATTTCGACTCGCGTTAACAGCAAGTTTTTCAGTGACGCCCATCCTGCTCATCACCATCATTCATTTGAAAATTGACGTTTCAGACAATGATAAACTGTGACGCTTTTATCGTACGGAAATTGCTAAAAAAAATTAAAAATTCACTCTTTAACGTCAAAACAAAGGTCAGATCGCAATCGATGCAGCTACAAAATCAAAATTTATAGATATAAATTAATGCATGCCCTAGACGATATAAAATTCTGTAAATTATTGCATAAAACAAAATGCAAATATTTCCATAATGTGAATAATTCCTTCCATCTCGGCACATAAATCTGTTGTTTGCCAAGCCGTCAACGAACACCGTGTGGTAAAAATGAGTGATTTACGACGCCGGATTGACAAAATTGACAACAAGTTTAAAGATTTATGAACTAAAACACAGCAGATTGAAGTGTTACGACAAATATCAATACTTTATAAAGCATTTAGATTTAAATGCAACAGCCATAATCCCGTTATTAGGTGATTCCATTAAAGTTGCATTTGTCCATCAAGTCAAGCAAGGAAAATTGTACATAGTAAATTTATGCAAAGTTGGCAATAGTAATTGTGTCCGGTCAGTGAATACAGTCAATCACTGACCAAATCATCCCCTGACGTCATCAACAATTTGTTCAGTAAAACATATTCTCTGCAAAATTAATGTCAAGTTCCTATTTAAAATTTCATGTGCTATTTTCATGATCTCTCATAAATTTTATTACATTTCAGTGAAGAGTTTTATGAAAAATTAATTTTGCTCTAAAAACATCATGCAAATCTAGTGAATGTTCCGTGCAATAGGTATGTTTCAAGTAGAATTTACAAATTTAACTGAATAATTAACTTAGTGCCGTCATTCTCACATTTGAAACCTTTCAAGTGGTCATAAATAATGATAAATATAAAATACACACAAGCATCTGTGATAAAAATAAAATAATATTATCATAAAAAAACATGGTTCTCACATACACAGACAACAGCCTGACACAAAATAAAAAATTAGATTTGTTATTAAGAATTTCGTGTTCGGAATAAAAGCACTTTTACATCTGCATAAAATGAATGGGAGAGCTTTTCTGGTACGAAATCATAAACAGCGTCCGTATAGCAAGTGGATCTGTATGAATTATGAGCGCAATGTCAGGTGCACTAAAATTAATAAGACTGAACAGGTGTGTTAAAAGACAACGCTGATCAAATGGCGTAAGACCGACCCAAGAACACGTAACAAACATGACACATATTTCTAAACATATCTCAGTGAATAGGCAATACTCCGAATAAACTCAAAAGAACACAATGCAACAACTAAAAAAAACAACCAAACCTTGCAGAAAGCGTAATAAGAAAGCTTCTGCAAATTGTCAAAAGATAAGAAAAGAATATACGAAACGTCTCCCTCATGATTATTACTTGCAATTTTGCTAAATAAAACAAAACCAGCTGCGTCCAACATAAAAACATTTTCAAATCGGTTCAAAATTTATTAATAGTCATTGAGAAAAATCGCTTCTGTGGCGTTAACAACGCCGACCTCAATTTTCTAGACCTGATTAAAGCTTTCCACCTTTACGTAGGAAGGTATATTTATTTATTTATACGTTTCAAAAATATGCTGCCGAATAAAGATAGAAAAACCATCTGTTTGATCCGGATAAATCATTTTCACGAGTAGAAAACATTCACGAGTGGTTTTCATAGATATAGTCTGAAATTTTGCAGACGCAAACTAATGCACTATAAATACTCCATCGTTTCGATTCATCTTTGGCTGAAGACGTCAGTAATTCTGAATTGAGAGCTTATCAAATCAACATCTATCGCAAAATTTCACATTAACTGGAAAATTAAAGATGAAATCTGTTACAGTAAGTTACAAAGCAGTTTCAGAGCGAACACATCTTCTATTTTTAATTCAATTTGAAATGAATTTATTGCCAACGTTTTGTCATTTATTGATGGTTCTCCCAAGGCCCCTAACTAATTGATGGAACTCAAAATTATCTAATTCCAAGGAGACTTAGGAGATAAATTATTTCAAAAAGTATTCTAATTATTATAATTATTAGGTCTCATCTCGTGACAAAAAATTCATGATTCAATTTGAGCAAATCAATAAATCCTACCTTAGTATTTTATTAATTTCAATTTGTACAAACACGTTAAAATGCCGGTAAAATTTCATGAAATGGATAACCAGCGTTGGTGTTAAATTACATTCGATAATTTCCAGGTAACACAATATTATCCCAGGCTATTTAGAGCCGATATAATTATCAGAATAAATCGTTAGTAACAACAAATACTGCGGCAAAATATGCACATAAATTTATTCGGAAACTCCTAATCGAAAAGAAAATTGATCGCGATTCATTAGCATACAGTTCAATTATAAACAAGCTATAAAACTCGAGATAAACGAAGGTAATTTACGTTCAATTTAATATTTAGGTTCCCCTAAATTAAGAGAATTATATGTATAATTTATAGTTAATTCGCACCGTTATGTTTATCGATTTGCTCCATTTTTTCTCATTCGACATAATAACTTTGCATCAATTTCTCGTTTCTGACATCCCCATAACATTTCTGGGTTTAATACGACATCGTAAATAATGCACCCCGTGGAAACAGAAAACATGCTACTTGATCTCCTGGTTCACGGCAAAATTTGTAGAACGGTTGATGTTTATGACTGGTTTTGTAACATAAAAAACATTTATGCCTAAAGAAAATACTAACGACACATAGACATTTTTAGACTCATAAACGAGACTAGACATCAGTCGCATTTTACTCGAGAACATTACTGATGTGCTCGATTTAGAAAAGAAATGAAGCTCCCCAGAGACTTCAACTTGAAAAGGGTTTCAATTGGTTTTCTACTTCACTTAAAAAAATTTAAACTGCACCACGCAGCACACCTAATTCAATGACCCTTTTTTGTTCGTTTTCCCTTCAAATTATTTCGCGACTTTAATTAGAAGACTAGAGAGAAATTTTAAGAAAACAAGGAAAAACATGCAAAATTTAATTAAGAATAAAAAAACGAATGCTTTTAGATTTTGTCGTTAAAAATAATGATGAAATAAAATACGAATTCCACTGTCGTGTCAGCAGAATCAATACCAATAGAAATTAAATAAAGAGGTAAGAGACATACGGTAACAAAGTATTGCCTAAAGCTATTGACCACACAGTTCAATAAATTTGAAACGACCATGTGATAACATGAAACAGTAGAAAAAATAAATTCATATTGCAAACTATGCTATCGTAAATAAACAATAATAAGTCTCTGATCAGAGCTACCCTTACCAGCTTTTTGAGACGACAATTTTGCTTGCACTGAAATCAATAATAACATAGTCGTCATACTCTAATTCTAAAAATTTATTACACAAAAATTGAAAGAAGTAGAATGTTTTTTTGTTCCCGCAAAGAAAAAAAATACACACTTTAAGGCTATAACATTTTCTTGTGTGTTGCATTTGTTAAAAATAATGTTAAAAAAATTAAGAAGTTTGTTAAAAGTTCAATACCTTAAAAAAAATTATAGACACCCCTTATTGATTCTGCATCTAAGAGATTTAAGGCATTTAAAAGTATGTTTTTAGATAAACAATTTAAGAATCTATTAGATGCAAAAACAGAAAAATAATCAGATATTCCATTTAAACTATTTAAGTTTTAACAAAATTCTACGTGTTTCATCTTTACAAATGCAATAAAAAATTATTATACCCTTAGTTTTTACTTTCTTCTTTAAGTAGTAACAATTTTTTCCTATCTGTCTTAGTTTTTGTGTTATACATTTTTAAGAAGAGTAATTTTAAACATTTTAAATGTTTCCAATTTTGCACACAGTACATTTAATTTTTTATGGTTGAGGGGTTGCCCAAGAATGGTGTACCAACAGTACTAAAGAGTTGATATAACCGACTATGTATTTATTATTATTCTGAGCCCTCTTATTGTTTCTTTTTTAAGAACTGTTATAACATTATACATAATTATGGTAAATTTCAAGTTCTCTCGCAAAAGCTTGTTAGCCTTCTTTGATCTCAGTCATTGAACAATTCAACGGAGGTTGTGTCTCTGTGCCCTGCGATAGTACTTTCTCATCGAGTTTCGCATCTTCTAACAATGTAAAATGTTTACTTCTGCACACAAATAGGGAATAAGTGACTATTTATACTAGAATTATTGGTATGTGTAAATGTGTAAATAGGTTCTTGATTAACCCAGAAATACCAAAAAGTTCAAGCGCAAAAAAATTTACTTGTTTATTTAAAACTGTCATTCTGTAGTTCTATGCACCTTTCTGTGGTCCTGAGATTTTTTTTTTAACCTTTCACAATACACTTTTCATGTGTCATTATCTCTTATTCTGTCGTACCCATTCGCATCAGAACAACTTACCTTGAGAACTTCCAGCCCCAGCACCATCTAATGTTGACTTTTTTGATCTTCTCACAAACAAAATGTAATTTTCATGTTTTTTCTACTTATTTTATAAGTGTGATTATTTTACTAAGAAATTATTCGGCTAGTTATTTGAAACAATCCATTAACTTAACCTAAAATGTCAATTTTTAATAGTCATTAAAGTTTAATCACTTAATTACAATTGTGATCCATTGTTAACACAATTACTCATATCAGAACATTACATTCAATTAAAATAATTAAAGAAACAGCATAAATACTAATTACTCATACTTATAGTGGTAAATGCAATGTTGTAGGAAATTGTTTTTACCTTTTTAAGCAAAAAAAAAAACAAGATAGAGAATCCTAATTGCCAAAATTCCCTGACGTAAATAGAAATTATTATTCAACAGAACTAATTAAGATGATGTTACTTAACTTCTATAAATTATTTTTTCTACTTTGCGTTCGTACTAAGGTCCATTACGAAACTGTTTTGAGTTTCGTAATGAACAAAAACAGTGCTATAAAAATTATACTAAAAAGAGGGAAATTTAGTCTTATAATGTTGGCGACCTAACCGTTTTTCCATCGAACTGTCAGTGTCAATCGGTCTAACGCAAATGAAATTATTCAAATACGAAATTCTTGCTGTGTTTGGTTTAATTAATCATCGCAAAAAATATTCCGAATGAACATGATTATAGTGGTGCTTACGCATACCTTTAGATCATAGAACAAAGTAAAATAAAAGGTACTTACTGTTACTTTTGAGACTTTTGTGGTTAGGTAGGTTTTGCCGTCAACTTACTGAATATTGGCGTGTGATCTCACAGGGAGTAAACTGTTCATCGTATTTGCCGTCAAGGTCGGTATTTCTAACGCCATACATTGCAAAACGTCTTCGACACCTTCGAAATTCATTTTTAGGAATAAAATAATGACGTTTCAAATTAATTTATTTCATAGCCACCTAGCCACCACGCAATGTCGCCAACTGCCGCAAAATCCCTACATTCCAAAATTTTTATTTTTTGTTTAAAAAAGTGCAAAGTAGAAAAAATACTGTATGATATCTCGTTTATAAGGCATTTTGTCTCCTCGCTGCGCTCGTCGTGTCCTAAACACGTGCGTGCGACAAAATGCTTCTTATAAAATTCGTATAATAATATACAGAGTATTTCAGAGTATAATGAGCCTGACCACATTTGAACTGCAGCCAGCAATACATTTGCATAGGCTTCATGGATTTTGGTTATGAATTTTAAAATTAATAAAACATACCTAGTTATCGCGTGACTGACACAAAGAAATTGACAAGACAGAAAACACAATTTTTAAGGTTATTGTCTATCTACCATTGGAAAACACTTTCAAGCCTTTTTGGAGCTTTTCTATACAGGAAACATTGTCTTTATAAAAGAAGCATTTTTCCCAAATTCGCCATAAATGAGAATTAGATCTGTTTTCTCATCGTTCGAATGCATTTTGAAATTTTGCTAATGTCAGTTCTGACATGGTTGTGACAAATAAAATTATCTAAGCAAAGCTATCGTGGATTCATAATTCGGTTTTTCAAACAATCCGATATCTAAAATATCCACGTTAACTTTGCAAATGTATTGTGGGTTGTATTTTCAATTCCGTCAGGCTCATTATCACTCGTGAAATACCCTGTACTATTACCACATTGCAAATACATAATATTATAGATATGTATATTCCTGGAAGTGAAGCAAATAAATTCCTATTTAACAGGGTGTCCCAGTGAGTAGAAAAAGTCCATTAGTGACCTTTAAATGGTAAAATTAAATATATATATATATATATATATATATAGGACAACGATATATTTATTATTTTTTTTATTCAAACTCAGTAGAAAAAGAGGTGCATTTTTCTCTTGATTTTGGACTTAATTAATTTTTTTCATTATTTTGACAATGATGTCACTTTGACAAATGAGTTTACGCAATTTAAATAACAAAAATGTTTGTAAAAAAACATAATTTTAATAAATGACAACTCAAAGAAATAACTTTAAGATAAGAAACAAAGTCATTTTTAACAAGAACTATCATTATTCAATTAATAAATAAATTGTCAAAGTGACATAATGTTGTCAAATAAATAAAACCGCCAATGTGATAGGACTTAAAAAGCAGAGCAAGACTAACTTTTCTTTTCACTGAATCAGAATAATGAAAGATTTGATCGTTTCAGGTGAAGCAAAAAATGTTTTTCCTTTGCAGTTTTGGCGTAAAATCAAAGATAAAAAAATGTTTCCTCTTGTAAACCCAACCCGGTGACATTCTGTATATTCCGGTCTTGCCACAAACATCTAACTTTCAAACTCATTTTTACCAACATAAAAAATATATAGCTACGCTACTTCATGTCATTCGAAAAAAATCTTTCCCGTTATAATTTCGCATTTCAAACATTGTGCTGTATCGAGTATCGATTATTGATGTTATTCTCGTTCAAGGAGACACTTCCACAGTTGCAAAAACCAACTAAAGCACGACTTTTTACTCTTAGCAAAATAGAAATTTTTCTTATACGAAATAAAGCAGTTAATTAAGTAGTACATTACCAAGACCCACGCGTGATGCAAAAAATTCTACGTAATTTGCGCTTTACTACATTACTATGAAAATGTATTTTATACTACATCATACTTTCAAATAACAAACAAGCATACGAAACTGTACAAATATTTATTGTACTTATCGGCGCCGAAAACTTATGAATCACGCTTACAAGTTACTTTGTTATTATGGTTTATTATCTGATAAAAAATCAAATTCGAGAATATAATCCAGCAAACAAAAATCAAATACATCTATAGAAGTGATATGATTAGAAACGATATATCACGCCTGACTCTAAGCTAGAACAGACTGATTGTGATTATCTCTAATATACAATGCACCATACGCTATATCAAGTTCATAATAGTGTCTCTCAATGCAAATAAATAGTGTAATTAAACTCGTGCCAAATATGCTTAATCTCCACTGACAAAATATATTTTTTCTGGTAAGTATACTTACCACGGTGATTGGATACATGGGATTAATAATAGTGAACAAAAGGACGTGATTTGGTTTGCTTTCGTCTTGTCTTTTTCTTCTTGGTTCTTCTGTAGTTGTGTAGTTTCCTGTGTGTCCCTGAAACAAACAAAAAAGATATAAACATTACGTTTTACTCTACAACCAGTACAAAATGTCACGCATCACATGCTGACATCCTTCAGGAAACAACAAGAAACACTTCATTAAAATCTAATTTAAATTTAATTTGGTGGTCCTAACAAGTTCGACTTATTTCGAATGAATTGAATAAAAAAATATCAAAACTTCAATTCCCCGATGCTGACAGACATGTATATGAATATTTATTTCCTCAAACACTATATATAGAACAAAATTTGTTTTTATGTAATAAAAAAGTTAAATAAAAAAAATAAAATGTGTGACAAATTTAAACTTTCCCGACGTTCCTCTGCGATGATTTATAATCTAACATGAAAACAAAATTATTCAGCAAATACACAAATTATTATTCAATAGACATCGAAACCTGATAAAATAAATAAGCAATTTAACTGTAATGCATGTAGCTCACAAAACTACAACATTTTTGAAGATTCAACCCTAGGTTCGCGTTTTCAAAAACTTGTTTTTAATGAGAAACTTAATAAAACAATTGAAATAATTTTGGCACATCACGCTAGAACAGGGTGAATCGGCTACCCTGAAAGCAAAATTGACCTTTCTGCTAAAAAAGCAACAATTGTGTCACATTTACATATTTTATTTTTTATTTTATGCAACGGTGCCTTCTACATTTACACATGCTTTCTTAATTTCGTTAAATATTTATAATATGCAAAATTTAATCCTGGAATAAAACGCGTCTAAGTACCTTAAATTTGTTTTTTCTACAAAGCCTATATAGCACCATTCATTAAAATTTATGACAATAAATCTTTTGAAATCGTAACACAATTTAGAAAAGAATAAAACAGATTAGTTTAAGTATAAAAACTGCCAATTGCGTCCTTGCCAGAAGCAGAGTTCGGGTGCAATTAATTGAGTCAGTGCACTTTGATAATTATTAGTTTTGTCAGCATGGCCGAGTACTCCGAGAAAAGACCCAACTTTTCTAATGCATCATGTTCTATGGGCTCAGGTTCGGAACTACACTAAATTTCGTTGATAATGTTTACAAAAGTTACATTAAATTATGAACAATCGAATGGACATTGACCATCACACACAACGGGTTCAATTAATCTAATAAAGAGTGATGATAAAGTCCTGCACAAAATTCATATCTCCACTAATCTGCACTTTTTCGAAAAATGCTCGAACAGATCAATTATAGGTAAATTTTAGAAAAGCTTAATAAAAAAGTACGCTAAAAAGTCCCTTTTTAAAATGTAAAATTGACTTATTCGAGCATTTTTCGAAAAAAAAAATTGTGTAGGACTTTAGCATCACTCTGTATTTATTTTTAATAAAAACAATAATATCAATATAACATGACAAAGTGCCAGTATATTTTATGTAATACATAATTAATCGGTTGCGGGATCAAAGAAAATAACCCGTTTATTCGGATTTTTAACATTTATTTTATCTTAAACAAACTCAAAAGTGATAAATCTAGAGTTACAATTTTAGTTTCTTATCCAACACTAACATCTTATACTGTTCCTATGGTGCATTTTAGCTTATCTCTTATGTTGCCGTTAATATACGCTCATTTATAAAATACGCCCTCAATCATATTGTGTTTTATATCTTACATCTTACATAAAACACTCTTGTTTTGGCATTTTGTCAATTTTGACAAATTTATCTATAACCATAGTCTACAACAAATTCTTAATTGAGCAAAATTTACACGTCAACTTAAAGTGCTTGTCAATAGAAATGTATTTACACATTTGTAAAATTTTCCACTTATACAATAACAGTCATCACGCATCAAAAAGTACTCATTTAATTTTTAAGTTATTCCTTTCATTAGGAGGAACATTCACGAAACTTTATAGTATTGTTATTATGTTCTTAAAATTATTCGCTCCAATCTCCCAAATATTTGTTACGTGATCAATTCTAATTAATATTAACACATTAAAATATTAAATTAATAGTGGATATCCAAGACACCCATACTTAATTGTAACATAAAATTGAATTTTATTGCATCATTTATCATTAACAAAAGTACTTAAAACTGTTTGTTGGCAGAGGAGGGGGTTTTGGTGCTCCTTCCATTATGCTTAAAGCGTAAGAGCAACTTCGAAAAATTATGTTTCTGAAAACAATTTTTACACCAACATCTGTTTTAATTTTTTTCACTGTCTACCGCATTAAAACATTCTCTAACATACAAATTAGTACATCATCAATTATTACAATGTCTGCTTCAGTAAATATTAGATGATATGAAAAGTATACCTACATTTGACAAATAATGATAGTACAAAAACTTGAATTTTGATTCTCAGAGTCGACTTTAACCCCAAATTTGTAGGATCTTACCAAAGTACTGTGAAACGTAACTTTATTTCAAACTTAATAAATTCTTAGAAATCCGATAAGTGTGATAAGCAAGTAATGTCCCCTCCTAAATCTAGATTTGTTTTAATTTTTCTGCTATAAACAGTTGCCAAGTGAAAAATTGTCATATCGACTCTCCCAACGAAAACTATAGTAACTCATAAAAATTGGTTTTTGAGTACGATGGCTTATGTAGGGCCCAAGATATAAAAACAATGAGAAATGTTTTTTTTTTGATTAAACAATATTATTACCAAAATATAAACCCTCAACAATTTTCGATAATATTAAACAAGTCCTTGATTTTTTATTAACAATCAAAGATTCAATGCAATTTTTCCCAAAATTGTAACTTTTGAGTTACTATAGTTTTCGTTGGGAGTGTCGATATAACCTATAAATAAGCAATTCAGCGAATTCCCATGTAGAAATTACTAAAGTACCTATTTAGTTATACAGGTGTCTAAAAATTAAGGCATTCCGAGTTGTGAAATCGTATTTTTGATGTGGCCCGAACTGTTAACGAAAAACAACACATCATACCTACCGTCAGTTGGAAGCAGAAATTTTGAATAATTAAAACTTTACTTTACTTATTAGTCAATAAAGTGTATAAAATAAATAAGACAAATTTCTTTTTAAATAAAATCTCATATATCTACTTCAGTTCATCAGTTGATGGCGGGCAACGCAAATTGTTTCATAATTAAAAGTTTACTGAGATTATTGCCCTCTTAATTACTCATGGAAACCTAATATAGCATCTTAGCAACGCTTAACTGAGGTTCGAAAAGATGCAAAATGCAGCTTATGCAATGTTGCCGATTAAACAAAGTTAAAAAGAGAACACCTTGTAGAGGGTAATATTGTTTTGTACCTATATTTTTACTCCAAGGGCTATCCCCTACAAGGCTCCGCACTCAGAATGCCTTAATTTTGCGACACCGTCTATATTTTTATAGACAACTCCAAAAAAAATTATTTAATAACTTTTCCCAAGTTACAGAAAATACCTATTAGGTATTCACGAAAAAAAAAAGTTTTCTAAAATGATAATAGAAAGAACTGATTCTGAAACCTTTTTTCCAAAAACTATTTTTGTCAAGTTATTCTTTAATAAACATCAAGTTAAAAATTAAAAGCTTGAAGACAAAATTACATGCTTTACAATTACGTATATTTATGTACGGGTAGTTGACTTACTCGTGTTAAATTCAGTGTTACAATAACAGACTTAAAAGCGAGTTAAGATGTTCTTCGTAAAAATGGTAGAAAAGTGCAGAACAAAATTTTTTTTATTTAATTTTTAATTTATAATTATTAGAAAATGATCAACAAATTACCAGTTGTACAAAAAAATCTACCCTTCTCTTTTTATTAATTAAAACTATTTTAAGAAACTATTGATCCACAAGAAAATGTTATTTAAAACATGTTACAAATAGTGACAAAACAAAATAAATCACAAATACAAAATGGAAATTTTAAAACCACATAGAGTTTCCATTATTTTACTTTCACAAATAATTCTAATAACAGCAATTAAGAGAATGTGCATACTACAATCGAAGGTGTGACACTTAAAAACAGTGATAAGGTATGTATCTATAATTTCAGAAAAAATAAATCAGTGCTCTAGATATTAGGAATTATCTAAGAGTTTAGATTACTATAATCCCAGTTGAGATACGAGATTAATTCCACTTTAGCAGTAAAAAAAAATATTGCAATCCCACTCCCACTTGACAAATTAATTTAGTAGTAATTGCCATAAACCCCACATTCCTGAAATGACAGCAACCTCTTTAAAATAAAAGACTAGACTCTTGACAGCTTTCCTAATTGCCGTATCTAAGCCGGCGCTAAACCAATGAGAATGAGCCTCACCGACAGGTTCTCCGATACAGGAGTTGAACCTGACACTTCTGGCGAGGCACGTCCACATGTCTTTGAAACATTAGAGCAGTAATAAATCTGTTGTTACCAGATCAGGATTATTTATAACAAGCACAGCTGCTTCGTTGGCCTAATTTTACCCACAAATCCATACATAAAAATGACAGGAATGTTTAAAAGAAACTCTCCCGTAACAATACGAGGCCAGAACCGTGGACAAAATACCTACGATAAAGTGCCTAAATTCCCGGACGGAAATGATCCAAATAAAATAAAGTATTGTTTATTTTAAATTTGACAAGTATTTGGAGGTAGTCCAAAAATCCATTTGTTGAGTCACAAACGCACGTTTGAGTTGTTTCTAGCCACGAGAGCTAACCTGTTTTGAGGTTAGAACCGATAATCGGTTCAATATTATTATTGACCTACGATGAACTGCATCTGGTTAGCCTTGTTTGGGTCATCGGCCGGCACTTGTCCATTCATCCCAACAGCAGTAAATTCCCCAAAAAAAAACAACAAATGACAGCTGACAGATGGTATAAATAATAATTTTTAAATTGATACAAAAAGATTTCAGTCACGGAAGCAACAGACCGAATTAAATCAAGCACCCCTTAAGATCAATAACCGATTATTTCAAGTAAAATCAATGCGAGCGAAATAAACACTGCATTTATTTACCGAAAAAATTCCCAGATCAAGTCGCCCCGAAACCACCACAGTCACAATTGTCACTCAACTTTTTTCCAAAAAATTTATTCCGGAAGCAAAAATACCGGCATGTTCATTCACGAAAACATCCAAATTGGGAAAGTGCCTTCTCCTCGGTGCAAAAACTTGAGGACAAATCACATTCCCTCAGTGACAGGTTGGAAGTGGTCGCTTCAACCCTAACCTCTATGATGGTACAATGACATGAACAGGGAGGCTCTCGGCAAGGACAACGGCACAAAAATGACTTACTCTGTTATTAGCGGAGTCGCTTTCTGTCCGTTGTCTTTTTGTATGAGGTCCATCTCCATTGAACGCCATTTTGAAACAAACAAACACTTCCAAGAACCTGCCGCTACTACGGCACGCGCAGAACTGACAGCTTTTAACGAAGGAGGCGGATGCGCAAAGATAGCACAAAAATAAAGTGCTGCCACCTGATGGAGATAAAGAGAGATTGAGGTAGATAATTTTATTTTGCAGAGGCGGATTTAACGATAAGATGTTATCGAGGTTCCAGGGTTGTATCTTCAGATACTTATTCAAATGAAAGATTACAAATGATTTCAGAAAATATCAGCATTAGATTAAACTAAAAATTATTTCAATGACAATAACACAAAAAAATATAATTATTATTAATGATACAGTTGCGACGAATGTGTTATACATATACCAAATAAATCAAGCAAGAAAAAAATTACCCCAAGAGCGCAGTAGTGAAAATTTATAATTTAGAAGTAATAAACTGGATCACGTATTTCATTTACTTTTATTATTTTTTTCCAACACTAATGTTTTATACCGTTTCTATGGTGCATTTAAGCTTGTTTGTTATGTTATTAAATTTTGCACTTTGAATCTACAGAGTGGTTATAAATGATTTTCATCTAGCCAGCTGTGAATTTTCCATGTAAAATAAAAAATGCCGCTTTACGAATAGAGGTACCTACTTGTTGTAACTCAAAATTAAAAAATCGCCGTTTACTAAGCGTCCACTTCGAAAATAGACTTCAATTATAAACTTTTTTCTTCCAAAGTATACATTATTATTAATTATTATTGGAAATTAGTTGAAACAATAAAAATTTAATTAACAACAATTTATTATTAATTAATAAGTGACACTAATGACAGAACTAGAGCTTTCAAAAAAGTAGAGCGGCACAAATAAAGTTACATGGAAAAAAATTCCAAAGCTGGCTAGAAGAAAATCATTTATAACCAGTCTGTATTTATTTCTGTTTTTTTACATGTTCTTTTGCTACAGACTGTTAGAAGAAAAAACAAAGAAGCTCTATTCTGAATTGTAACTATGTTTAACGACATTTGTAGCCTTTATTGACAAAGTTTTTGTACCTTTATTGAATAATTTAAAAAAAACATATACAAGGTTATCAGTATCATTAAATAGACATAAAAAAATGTCAAATGTCAAAAAATATATGTGAATAACATGTCCGAAAAGTCGCGCACCTCCGTTCCACTGTATCATCGAGCGGTGCCCTAGACAACAAGAAAAATGTTTAAAAAATCTATCTATAAAAATTTCGAAGTTTTGAGAATTTAAATTTTGCACTTTGACTCTATTTATTTCTGTTAGAAAGATAATTTTTCAAGTTTTTTTGTTACAGGCTATTAGAAGAGGAAACAAGGAAGCTGTATCCTAAACTGTAACTTAATGTTATTTGTGGGTTTTGTTGGCAAACTTTTTGTACCTTTATTAAATAATTATAAAAAACATACACACAAGATCATCAGTATCATTAAATAGACATAAAAAAATATCAAAAGTCAAAAAATAAATGTCGGTAGTACTCTGGGGGACTACCCAATTACTCCCTTTCAAGGAGGTGCGCGTCTTTCCGGATATCTTGTATATGAATTATTTAAACATTTTTTTTAATGTTTCTGGTATCTTATCTTACTTAGAATTTTCCCTTTTTTGGTCTATTTACAAAACACCCTGTAAAATACGTTGATGAATATTTTTTGTCAATTTTCACAAATTTCTTTATAATAATTTCTTAATTTAGTAAAATTTCTGATTCAATATTAGTGTTAAATAAAATCTTGATGACAACACGAGTTTTATAGTTTAAAAACTCTGGTTGTCTTAATAGCTATTATTTCAACTTTATAATATTTTTAAACAATAATTTTTAGTAAAAGTAAAACATATTGCGCATGTCTATACCAAGAAAACGAATACCTATCTACCAATTATAAAGAAAAAAATATGGGTTCCAATTTAAAATTGGAAATTTAAATATAACCCAAAATATACTATGGGATTTAGAAAAATTCTAAAATTGTCAGCTTATACTTTATTAAGTCATTTAATTTTTTTTTACTACTAGTTGTAAAAAAGATACCATTATTTAGTTTGTCGAGAGGTCATGAAGTTGTTTTTCTCTCCTTTTGACAATAATCATTTTAATTATAAACCAAGGGCTATAATGTATTAGAGGTAGGTAGGTAAATGCCGACGTTGGAGGGTACAGTGGCGAACACGGAATTTTGGACATCAAATTTATTTCAGAACTTTAAAAAAATAGCTGGGAAAATTGATATTATTTTTGTAACCTAGCAAGGGATATAATTTTTCAATCACACCTTAAGGTGCCCTTCTGGGATTGGTGGATTTAAGAGTCTATTAACTTTCTTATGCAAGCAAAAATTACTTCTTCGGCTGCACTTTTTGGCGATCTGTTGCCGCCGGCACTTGACATTTTTCTCTGGGGCACGAGTTCTGGCGCACCTGTATACATCCTTTTTCTGCAAAGTCTTTGTAGTAAGAACCTCATTTTTGTCCACAACACTGCTGTACTTACTTGCGGTGTGTTTCTATCAAAATTATTAGCACTGAATTCTGTTTTTAGACCTTAGGTAATGGTGTCTGTCCTCAGGTATTCAATTATAGCGCTTTCAAAGAGCAAACAAGCACACAAGATTCATAGAAGTCAAAATTTTGACAACATCTCAATTTGAACACATAATCGTATTTTATGTATCAAGTACGCAAAATGTTGTTTTAGGGGACGAATCGTAATTAATGACGAGGCGATGTAGGAGCCGAGTCTTTAATGAGATGAGTCCCCTAAAACATTTTGCGTAKGTGGTGCATACATAATTTTTTGGTATCAGCTCTGCAAAATATCTTCTGAAAATGTYAATTATTTGAATTCTGAATCGTAAAATGTGGAAACTGTGTGAAAGCGTAGTAGGTGTCATGACGTTATTATGGCAACCAGTTGTTTATCGAAAAAACGGTTGTGTTGAAAATGTGTGAAGTTTCGGCGTTCATTTCCGAAAAAGCAAAAATAATTGTTTCGGATTTGCTTCCGGCGAAGTCTAAAGCCCAGTAAGAAAAAGATTATGCTTCGTTTCGTGGTTGGAAGCAGGCAAATGGCGTGACTCTCGTGAATGAATATGTGATGTTGGCCTATCTGGACGAAAAGAAAGAAAAAAAAAGAATCAGGTGCATCAATTTCATCTGTGGCGAATTCTGTTGACGTGGTTGCATCAACATCGACGTCACTAGAATCTTCAAACAAATCCATCACTTCATATCTGAAAAACCTAACTGAAAAAGGTCTTTCTTTTTCTGAAAATAGTTTTAAAAATGCCAAAAACTGTAATTTTCATTTCCATTTCTCAATGTAAATTTATTGTTAATTTTACAATAAAATCATGTTTCTAATGTGTTGCTAAGTTACCTTTCAGTCCCCTAAAATGGACAAAAAGTACTAGGCCGCTAAAATAGCATTTTGCGGACTCAAATGAGTTCGCTAAAGTATCATTTTGCGGAGCGTGTACCAAAAACATAATTTTTTAACAAAATTTCTAGGGACAAAAACAAAGAGCAAACAAAATTTGTGGCTATAGAGACAAGCTGCTACCAACTTTTCACCAAAATTTTGACTTGGTAATTTCCATTTAAAAAAAATAATAAATTTTACACTTCTCAACTTGGTACAGTTGGAGACAAAATACTTTGGTCGTCAATGTCACTTGAGTGACATTAAATTGTAAAGCATGCTTTAGGACTGTTAACAGTATTAACCTTATTTTTAGCTACTGTCAATCATAGATGACAAGTTGTACATATTTTTGATAGAAAGATATAATATGTAGCTGTCATTAATTTGAAATTGACATTAATTTTAACGTTAAAGCTTGAATTACATTAAAGTGTCAGAAAAGTGACGACCAAAGTATTTTGTCTCCAACTGTACTACAAGGTGACAAACATTTGATAGTTGAAAGACATACAAGGTGATTCACGAGGAATAATGACCCTGACCAAATTCTCGATGCAACCACCATTACTTTTCGCAAGTTGTTTTGCGACAAATGTAATATTGGTTGCATCGAGAATTTGGTCAGGCTCATTATTCCTCGTGAATCACCCTGTATGTGTTTAGATTAGTTTGTTTCGTTTGACGATATAATTTCAAATAATTTTCTCCTTGAAAAATCATGAAAGAGTGAAATGCAAGAATCTAAATGCAGAAAGCATATACGAAAAAAACAAATTTTTAAATGGATTCCGACTTGAGTAAGACACTCATACAGCAATTTGTTAAAACACTTTTTGCTCTCCAGTTAAACATTTGAAAAAAAATTACAGTGACATAAAGAAAAAGGGCAAGATTTATCTCCTAATATTGTTAGCAACAACTCCTAGCTTGTGCTTTTCTTCAGTAACATTACATACCATAAAAATTGGAGCAAGTGAAACATTGCGATACAAAATTAATATTTGCCTAAATGTTTAATTATTTTTAGTGGCATCCACAAAGAATGTTTTATTTTTAATTATGACTATGATAAACTTGTTCACATGACACTCAAAGACGCCAAAAAACTTGTTGACAAAGACTATGCAAATAGGACACGAATAATTTGTACGAGATTTGTAGCCGACGAAAATAATTCGCTTCCTCCGGCGTACCCTAAGGAGGTGTGTTGAAACACTGCAATCTATGCTTTATTATCAAAATAATTATAAAATTTTAGTCCGGCAATTATTGTGAAAGTCTCAAATATGATTTTCTATACGATATCGGTAGTGTTCTCCCCATATATCTTGAGCTGTTTATTCATAGTGTCACTAGCCGATATGTGAGAGATTACCAACTTTCAAATGTTATCGTTCGGGTTGGAGATTTTTGTTGGAGATATGGACGAAAAAGAATTTTATTGCTAGGTTGTCATCTTGCGTACATATCAGTTTTTATGAAAATAATTATGCTTCATTTTACTAGAAGTGATTGGCGAAGCTGTAATTAATTGCGCTTATCCAGTTTTAAAACACTCAACTGAAGCTATCGGTAGTAACACTCAAATTCAAATTGGCTTTTTTTCTGATTTTTGTAGTAATTGAAATAACTGGAAACGAACTAAGACCTGTTTCATTCGTTTTAACTTTTCTAGGACTCCACACCCCACAGTTTCTTATTGGGGTTGTACCACCACTTATGTACTGGAAATACACAACTCTTATACTACAATTCTACTTTTACCACTGTTCTTATATATGGTGCAAAAAACTATAGTAGAAAAAAAGAATGTTTTATATATTTTTTGGGTATCATGTAGGTTTTTACCCGAACCATCATAGTGGTTTATTTCAAGAAAAACAAACAAAAACCGCATTGTTTGCGTCAGAAACTTTGAATGACTCTACAAAGCACAATGATACTCTCCTGCTCCTACGCAACAAAGTAATCACTTTCAAAGAAGCAAAAAAAAATCGCGTAAGAGCTCAAAAACACGATAAACTGTAAGCAATTTATTTCAATTAACTTGATTTCAATTGGCGTGGGATTTTTATCATTTAACTCATATTTGAGTAAAATTTGTATGTTTCTATGTTCATAGATGCTTTTGCACTGGAATTTGTGGTGCAACTATAACCTTTGAATTATTTATTATAATTGGTATACAGCAAATAAACGTATGTGTTGTAAAAAATACTCCAACTGGTTTTTGTGATGATGTTAGAACACAAAATTGTAATAACTTTGTTTTCAGACATTTACTAGAGAAGTTACTACAACAGTTGCATCAGTCACATCTTGTATAATTTCTATGTTTTTAATAAAAAATTTGAAACGGATTGATTCCTTGAAAATAAATTTTGCTACTGCATAATGTAAATAAAAAACTTTAAAATATTGATTGTTTAATAAAAAATAATCTTAATACATTGTGTTAGAGAGCAAATAGAAAATGTGTGTCTGGCAGTTTGCCCCCAAAATTCAACTTCCCTGCTTGTGGACAATGAATTCTTCTCATGACTTCTTTAATTTCATTGACACTAATCGGAGGTTGTCCACTGTAAACCCTGCTATAGTCTGGATTATTGTTATCACCAGCCCCCATCCTATAATCCCCGTTGAACATCGTGGATGTGTAATAATTCCCATACAAATGGTTTAGGGGATCACTCCCACACTTGCCCTCCATTCTAACAAGCAATGCGTAATCAGTAATTTCAGCCACGGTTTGATACGCCAAATAGGACAAAACTACCATAGCATTAGGCTTAAAGTTAATTTCTTTTTTTGGGTCAATCCATAATTTCAATATTTCTGAATTTCTGGCTGTAATATCTCTACTACAAAACGACGTGGATCTCGCTTTGTTAAACTCCAAATAGCTCTTTTCATCTAGAGCTTGTGATATTCTATCAGCTCTCAGCATCCTTGACTGTTTGACTTCATCAACTTCAGATAAATCCGTAAATTCTCCTGTCTCGTCTATGTCCTCGATAAATTTCATTAGTTCGTTCTTTGGTATGGGGTCTTTGTCAATTTCAATGACCCCGGAGTTCAAAGACTGGAGTTGTTGTTTAAGTTGTTTGTTTTTTAAATACTGGACAAAGCGCCGCATTTTGTGTTTATTGTGACGCATTAGGAACACTAATTCCTTGCCCTCGAGGTTCTTACCGTCGGAGTACTTGAGGGCTTCTTGAACAATCGTGCGAAGTTGCTTCAAAACGATACTTTCTACCAAACGCACTGTTTCGGGATTCGGTTTGTGACTGTCGCCGAAACCAAACATCATTAACGAGATTTCATTACAAAATGTTATTTTTTGGGAATCCATTTCAATCGTGTCAACAATCGCACACACATAACCTCAATTTGACAACAAATATTTGTCCCAATCAAATTAAGCCATTTAAAAATATCCACTCCTGATTGGCCCACATTTTTCAGCATGGCCAATCAAAAATTAAAATCCCCAAGTCGAATGTCAAACACATTATAACTTGTGATTATAATTTTTGAAAGATAAACACGTTTTTCGAAGGGAAGTGAAGTGAGAATGGTTGTAATTACGACATTTAAACCACCAGAATCTCCAGTAAAACTTGAACAACCCAATGTAGTCGTAATTTTGGATAAAAGAGACTTGGGGACTGGGACTTTGTTTGTGAGCGAAAGGTGCGTCTTTAAATGAAATAAGAAAAACATTCCATAAGTGTTTAATTGCAGGACAATCAGTTGGCAAAAAGACGGAACTACAGGTTTTTCAATTGAATATTACAACGTCTCACTCCATGCGGTGTCTAAAGACCCCAATGTGTGTGAAAGGGATTGTATTTATATTTTGACCGATCCCCACATAAATATGTTTGGTTTGTGATTTTTAGTCGCACATTTTGGTTTATTATGAGTGATTTTGTAGGTGATAATAATGACCAGAGGCCAGCAAATGATGAGGATAGTGATGTTGAGTCAGAACCAGATCTCTCGGAACTGATTTTAGTTCCTGAAAACCCCACACATGTACCCAATATTTATGAGGCTATAAAATTGTGCCAAGAATTAAATCCAGATCCTGCCGATGTTGAAGATGAGGATGATGATAATTTATTTGCAGATGCTGAAGAAGAAATGTATATAGAGGCTGAATCTGAACAAATTGGGGACGCTGGTAATGACCACTTGTCTTTTGAACAAATCATAATTAATTTTGTTTGTAGTCGTGAACAGTTTGGCTGAAAGGCTACAAAACAATTCAGTTGACGTCCAATACAGCTACAGAAATGGTAATGAAGATGAGGACTTTGAAGATGCAGACTGATCGCTTGCATAGTTATTAGGTTTTGTATCTTTAATTTTAATTAATTTTTAATAAAACACTAAAATGTGAAAAGTGTTTTATTCCAACAAAATCAAATTAATAACAATGTTAGAACGAAACAAAAGAAAATAAAAACTAAATTTCCTTGTTTCTTCTTCACAATTCTCAATTCCGATAGACTAAATAATGAAACATTCATTTATCTATTTCTGAAAACATTCTGAACTTCTTTGACCCTTATTAACATCATCTTACATAACCATTTCATCCTCAATTTCCTTCCATTATCTAACTCTTTTAGGACCAAAGATCAAGTCGGCGTCAGGTGCCCCTTTGGGATGCTGATATTTCTTACGTTCGCGATTCAAATTTTGGGTCACAGGTCTATTTTGCTGCTGCATCATATCTTGATAATCCTCTTCTTCAAACCTTTCTGTAATATTCAACGTCAGACGCTTCACCCTTTCCTTCTCCTCTTTCTGAGCCAATTCTTGATCCCTCAGATTCTGAGCAAGTTCAGAATTAATATCAGCCTCGAAATTTTTATATTGCTGTTTATTCCCTTTACGGACCATTAACACGAATCCGATTTTATTGCATTCTGTTTCTGGTGCGTCCTGTAACTGCTCGTAAGTCTTCTTGTTTGATTTGAGGACAACCGGAACTGAAATGTCCACGTTTCCGGCTTTAACCGGCTCGCGCATCCGCTCTTGGATATTCTCTGAAACCATCTTATCCAAAGCGTTTAAAAATTCTTCGTCTTCGGGACATTCAACTTTGCGGGGGCCACTAGGAATGGCTAATGATTCAGACACTTGTTCTTGCTCAGCTTCGCTACCATCCGGTTCTCCTAAAAGAAAGTCACAAAAATTGGAAAAATTAAAAGGAAAAGTACCTTCATCGTCGGAGCCTTGCGTGTGGTCCACCGTTTCGTCCTCAGTAGCGGTATCATCAGTGATAGGTGCCGTTACTTCCGACACTTCGTCTTCGCCTTGTTCTTCAGTGTCTGTTTCAGCGATTGTTTCCAGGCCGTCTTCTTCGACTTTATTTTCATTTGAGTCTCCAGTAATTTTATCTAATTAATTTCTCGTAATTCAATTATATTCTAGTTTATAAAAAAAATCTTACCAAAGCCTAAAGTGACGCGAATATTATTTAGCTCAGTCTGTGTTTCTTCGTAACTTTGACACAATTTAATTTTAGGTCTCAAGGTCGTCAGAGTATCTTTAAAAATGTGTTCCAATGTTGGGGGAAAAGCATCTTTCCACAAATCACGTTTGAACCAATAATAAGATTGCAAAAATATTAAATAATAGTCTAATCTTCTCTTACTGCTACCGCTGCTGAAATAAGTACCTACAAACGAAAAATTTATTAATTCAAAAGAATTAACAGACAAATAAATTACCGCAGGTTTCAAGTAAAACACATGCCAGTCTTATTCTGAACAGGTGATTTGGTGGATCGAGTGGCGATGGTACGTTTGGGTCCATTGAAACTCCAAATGTTATCAAAGAATACAAAACCTGGATAAAATCATTTAATTTTATTTAAAATAAAAAATTAAACAAACCTTAAAAATGTCCGCGCTTTCGACCATCCTGTAATTATACAATTCACCAAGATATTTCACTTGAGCTACACGTCTTTGATTGTATTTTGGAAGATTGACTTCCATACCTAAACGAATGTCTTCTAAAACACTGTCTACAACTCGCGTACCAACCTCTTCCTGGTAGGTTACGAGGCCCGCAAGTAAATTCGCAAGACACCTAAAAAGACGAATTATTAAAATTTCAATGATTCAACTTTTTGTCTAATAATTAAAAGATCAAAGATTCGTAACAAATACAAAGAGGAGCTCTTATATTAAAAATAAAATAATTAAAATCAAGCATATTAATTAACAAGTTAGTTAAATTTAAGAACACTCTAATACTGGTCCAAAAACTTGTTAAATCAAAAATACGTCGCTACCTGATATTGAAATATTTCACGTTGTGAGCACTACTCAGACACTTTATTGCATACGCCGACACATCCTGGCTGCTCCAGTCCAGCTTCCTAATCAACCTCATGATCTTATCAGTATTATTCTTCTGCAAGTCTTGAAAGAGCAATTTTCTGATAAACTGGTGCATAATCGGCCTCTCCTTCTTCGTAATCGTAACTTCGGGCGGATTGACGTAATAATAGGCATTTTCAATTTGCGTCACATATCTCGAATCCAACGCCATTACGGCCTTTTTCCTCATCATTTGTTCCAAATACACCCTCGTCCTTTGATGCGAATCTGGACTGCAATATAAAAACCGGCCGCAAACTTCCAACAGATTGCACGCCATTTCAATGTGATGGTGCGAGAAATCGTACAGCAAAACTTTCAGACAATAGAGTGCTTCTATTTTTGAATAGAGCTTGAATTTGACGAGTTCGCCGATAAATCGTACGACTTTTATTTTCGATTCGATGTTAATTTGGTCTTTCTTGCGAACGTGGTATTTGAAGTCTTGTCGCAGCATTTGGCACAGTTCGTTGCCCACTTCGGGAAGGGCTGGACGGAGGATGGCCACGAAACGGGCGTAGAAAGGAAGAAGGTCGAGGCGGGTACGATTAACCCCGAAGAGAGCGCGGACCAACTTCTTGCGGTTGTGTTTGCTGTTGAGGGTCACGAGAAAATCGATGGCCGCATTGTCGATCATTTCGCGATTTACGCAATTAGGCAAGTTGTTGAAAAATGCCTCGAGGAGGATTTTATTGCTGGCGTTTGTCGTGGCAGAGTCTTCGGGCTCGTCTTCGGCCGGTACGGAGGCCTCCTCGGCCTTTTCTAAGATCAGAAGTGGTTTTTATAGCATTTTTTATTTTCTAGTAGAACAATCTTAATAATACTTAAAAAAAGATTGTTTGATATAAAAACCAAATTTTTTAAAGTAAAAAGTAAATTTTTTTTTACATTTTAAGATCATAGTCCGGTTAAAATAGACATTTCAAATAACGAAAATTCCAACAGAGCTACCTTGTAGCTTGGGTACACCATTAGAAATAAAGTGTCAAAAGTCCCCATCGATCCCATGTGTGCTAAAAAAGTTATTCGGGGTCAAAGGTCAAAATTGAGGTTTTTTTAGATTTTTTTTGAAAATGGTAAGTTTTATCAAAAAAGTAGCCCAGACAAAAATTATCTACAAAAATGGTCTTTATACTTTTTTTCTAAGAACCACCATTCCTGAGATATCGCGATTCTAAAAGTTGAAGGAGTAACGTTCTACATCGTATGCACATACAGAGTGCGCCAGAACTCGCGCCTCAAAGACAAATGCCATATAGGGTAAGGTACCAGGAACATATAAAAAATTAAAAAAAATTCTATCTATAAAAATTTCAAAGTTATGAGAGTTTAAATTTTGCACTTTGACTCTATTTATATCTCTTGGAAAAATAATTTTCCAAGTTTTTTTGTTACAGGCTATTAGATGCGAAAACAAGGAAGCTGTATCCTAAACTGTAACTCTGTTTAATGTTATTTTGTGGCTTTTATTGACAAAATTTTTGTACTTTTACTAAATAATTATAAAAAAACATATACAAGGTCATTAATATTATTAAATAGACATAAAAATGTCAAATATCAAAAAATAAATGTCAAAATTTTTTGACAGATAGAATTTTTAAAACATTTTTTCAGTACTCTAGGGGACTACTCAATTACTCCCTTTCAAGGATGTGCGCGATTTTTTGAACAACCTGTATGTATTACCAAATAAATTCTTTTTAATTCTAATGGAATCGAGATATTTATAAGTTTAATGAAGTAGAAGAAAATTTTCAAGTAGATAAAATACCAGGAACATTTATTTTTTGACATTTGACAGTTTTTTATGTCTATTTAATGATACTGATGATCTTGTATATGTTTTTTTATAATTACTTACTAAAGGTACAAAAATTTTGTCAATAAAAGCCACAAATAACATTAAACAGAATTACAGTTTAGGATAAAGCTTCCTTGTTTCCGCTTCTAGCCTGTAGCAAAAAAATTTGGAAAATTATTTTTCCAACAGAAATAATTAGTCAAAGTGCAAAATTTAAACTCTCATAACTTTAATATTTTTATAGATAGAATTTTTTAACATTGTTTCCATGTTCCTGGTATCTTACCCTACATGGCATTTGTCTTTGGGGCGCGAGTTCTGGCGCACTCTGTATGTGCATATCATGTAGAACGTTACTCCTTCAACTTTTAGAATCGCGATATCTCAGGAATGGTGATTCTTAGAAAAAAAGTGTAAGGACCATTTTTGTAGATAATTTTAAGATATAATTTTTGTCTGGGCTACTTTTTGATAAAACCGTTTTCGAAAAAAAATCTAAAAAACCTCAAATTTTGACCTTTGACCCCGAACAACTTTTTTAGCACACATGGGATCGATGGGGACTTTTGACACTTTATTTCTAATGGTGTACCCAAGGTCTCCACCAAAATTTAGCTCTGTCGGAATTTTTGTTATTTGAAATGTCTATTTTGACCGGACTACATACCAAATAACGCTTTCTACACAATGTTCGTCAGTCGAGTTAAAAAAAAAAACAGTATTTAAGATGTGTGAATTGCAAAATTGGTCGAGCAATTTTAGATAGCAAAAACTTGTTTTCTAAACGTAAAATTTCGTCAAGAACAGGATGTGACCTGTAAAAACGAGCAGTTTCCGAGAAATTTATTTATTCTAAGCATTTACAGCTCTCTTACTTGGATTTTTAAAGTGATGAACGATGTAAAATCATCCGGGAAATCTATCCACGCAAACTGTTTTGACCTAGAATTAACAGTTTTCGAGTTAATTTTTTTTTAATTTTTAATAGTCGTAAAGTCCAAAATCAGGAGAAAAATGAACTTTTCTGAGTTAGAATAATGAAGTTTTAATTACAGATTTGATGATTTTAGGTAAAGCAAAAAATGTTTTTCCTTTGCAGTTTTGCCGTAAAATCAAACATAAAAATTTTTCCTCTTGTAAACTCAATCCGGGGACATACTGTATTTAAATGTTTCGAGGTGTTTTACTTTTAAAAACTAAATATAATAAAATGGGAACAAAAAACTAAGATTAGAGTTTTTTTTAATAATGTAAATCTGCCAGAATTCAAATGTCCTAATAGTAGTTTTATAGTTTTATAATTTACATAGATTCTACTTACCGTCATCTTCCAGCTCTTCAGTTGGTATTTCCGAATCTAGCACCTCCTCAGTTACCGACTCCTCTGGTGGAGGCGTTTGTTTATTTATATAGGAAGTCGGCAAAAAAGCTTGCAATTCCGGCAGTTCACAATAAAACCTCTGCGTCTCAATATCGCACCAAACATTTTCGATATTAGCCAACGCGGCCTCATCCAAATCAGGTCCCGCCCCTGTCACTATCATGCTCTAAAAATCTCATGCTAATTCTTTGTTCAATTATTTTATTGAACCCACCTCATCATTTTTCATGATAGTCTGGTTTTTCAAAGTTGGCATATCTTCGTCTAAAATTTCGGCAAAACTTTGTGTTGAAGCTAATAATTTATCGTAAGATGTTTGAAGCGACTCGAGCTTGTCCTTTCGCTCTTGACTCAATTCACCTTTAGTTTGGAGTATACGCATGTTTTGCTTCTCAAAGTTTTGGATCTCTTGGTGGTCTTTTACGAGATGCTTACTGAGCGAAATGTAGTAATCCCTTAGTAAAGAACGGACGTTTTGCTGCTTTTCGGGAGGCAGGAAAGTGCTCTTCGGAATAGGAATGTCGAATTTTTCGGACAATTCTCGCATCTTGCGAGGGACCAAACCTGAATTTAAAATTCGAATTAAGTTAAATTCTAGTAACATTAGTGTCTATAATTTATAAAGTGTAAATGTGCATAATTTGTTTGTAATTATCGCAAAAATTCCGTTGTGAATCGTTACTTCTTTCATCGATTTCATGTTTAGTATGCAGTCCGCGTCATGTTTCAAAATAAACTTGCTTACAGTTTTTTAGCACAAAATCAATTGAACCAGATGTAAAAGTAATAAAAATCACCTGCGTAATCCTCGCCACAGTGCTTGCAAAAACTAAGAATGATTGAGCAATTGTAATGTTCATCTTTGTCCATGTTGACCAAAGTAGTGATCACAGTTCCCAACAAAGTGAATGCATTTTTATTATTAAACACGCCAGCCTGAACCAACTCGGCATAAAACCTTAGATCCACCCTTAGTTTACTCGGATTTGGGATCTTTTCACCCACTTTAAAGGCCAATGTTTTCTGCCAATTCTCAAACAAGTGTTGTGAGAAATCTGCATAAGTCTGATGCAAAACACTGCACATTTTTACAGCTGCAGCCACATCAGTCATTTTCAATTTAGCATCGACTATAGCAGCTGCAATCTCTGATATGTACTTGGATAAGTTTAATCCAGTCATGTCTTTCAAGTAAGTGTCCACTTGGTTAGCAGTAAAGTTTTTGATTTTTTTAACAAAAGCTGTGTTCTTCTTGAGACTGGAGTCAAGTTTACTAAAATGCGACTCGCTGGGTCGCGCATTTGCAGCATTTTGGTTTGCACTTCGGAGTTCTCGTTTGGAGACAAACCTCTCTTCCACTTCTTGGATGTAGGAGGTTAGAATGTTTATGTCGTTTTCGTTAGGGGCCTCGGCACTGTTTTCGTCTTTCTCACCGTCATGTTCCGATGATTCGGTCACGGTCATGTTGCAATAATGCCGTTTTATTTGTTAAAAACTTATTCTTCTTGATAATTGATTATTAATAGAAAACAATTTAGGGGAAAATCAAAAATTCCTCAACAAAATGTCACTCGTCAGTAGAATTTTTTGCGTTACCAATAGAAATTACACAATTTATTGTTATCTTATCTCATAATTTAAAGAGTACAATACTGTGTTAAAATTTAAATACGATAATTTAGATGTTATCTGAACAAATGTATTTTAAACTGGGTGAGTTGTTTTTCCATTTTTACTTTCAAAATCGTATCTGACTAGTGAGATTTCTGCTGCAAGGTTGGTAATGAAAACCACGTGTGTTTAGCTGTCAAATGTTTCCCATTTTTGGTTCAAGTTAAAACATTTTTTTCTCGTAGTGTTCCTTTTAAAAATGTAGATTCACAACTAAAATCATGGTATTGTTAAATTTATAACTATTTGCACAACCTATTCGTATCCTTCACAGAATGACTTGGACCTTGAAGATATTGAATCACGTCTTTATAGTCAAGTTTATCACTCTGTTGATTCAGAAAGCGACTTAGTTCTTCCTTCTGCTCCAGTCGAGCCATTTACCTCTGAAAACATGAAAAATCAAGGTCGTTATTTCGGTCGCTGGACGCCTGGAACAAAATTTCAGAAAAATATGCATCCAAAACAAAATCCAAGAGCATCATCTTTCAGTGATTGTGACCAGTCTCATCCAGGTTTTTATTCAAAAAGTTTTAAAAGACGCCACAGGCCTGATAATATATCAATCAATCAATTAGTTGTTTTGAGTCCTCAAAGCCCTATTGTTTGTGTAACTCCTAAAAAAAATCGAAATAAGGCGCGTTGGAAAAATTACAGAAAGAAGCAGAGAAAACTAGAGAAACTAGCTAATTCTCAGAGCGAAGCAATAAAACAGACACCAGACGTTGTACCTCCAAATAAAGAACCAAGTAAATGTGAGAAAGTCATTACATTGTCTGATAGTGAGAGTGAGGAGGATAACTGTGTAATAATACCTGATAATTGGCCAGTTTTATCGGTATGTGATTCAGACGATGATAATAAAAAGGACGATGATCATGACAACACAAGTAATAATACTGAAAATAATGAATTAAATAGATCGTCAAATGAAGATGTAATATTTGTTGAACCTGTGGAGAAGCCAGTTGAGGTAATAAACCTTGACGATGAAAGCCAGACTCCTGAAAAAAAATTACAGCAAAAAAGTAACGAAACAGCGTCAGTTGCATCATCAGATTCAAACGTCTCTGAATCACCAACGAAAAAAGCCCACCGCGAACGTAAAGAATTATTAAGTACGCCGGATTCAGCCTCAAATGATTTCGTAAACAGTTATGGAATTGAATTAAATCAGAAAAATTTCAACTTTAGTTTGCACGGATCTGATTTTAAAAGTGGAGACTTTGTTAAACCTGCAAATCGTAATGAGACGTGCGAAACTGAAAGCAGTTCAAGCACCACAGACCTCAATTCTGTAAACTTAATGAAAACTGTTGTTTTTAACGAAATTGAATTTCCAAAAGACGACATTTTTTCCGAGAGTAACTTGGAGAGTTTTGGTAATTTTATCACTCCAACGAAAAGGGGGACAAATATTCCATTAGCCCAATCATCGTCTACTCCTAAAGTGGATGATCAAAGTAAACGGACCATTAACTCGTCTGATAGTAGCTCGGAGAGTGATTTTGAAGCCTCAAGGATAAAGAAAATCAAAAAAGTTAAGAATTTGCCAGAATTGTCGCCCATGCAGACAAAGAAAAAACACAAGAAAATTACCAGTAAATATGATTTGCTAGATGCAGAGGCGGATGAGTCTTTATTGAAAGGGAAACAAAAGAAGAAACAAAAAAATAAGAAAAAGAAGAGTGAAAAAGACGAAACTGTTTCTAGTATTGATTGTACAGAGTCAGTTCAGAAGAAGAGAAAATCGAGTCAGATGGAAGTTGCAGGTGATAATGTCTTGAAGAAAAAATCTAAAAACAAGAAGAAATTGCGAACTGCGACCCCAGACCTTGAATCAACTACCCAAACTAGGCAGGATTGTGAAAGTGTTGACGCAACTGATGAATCAGCTCCAGTTACAAGTTTAAAAGATGTAACGGAAATGACAGAAACAAGTAGTAAAAAAGAAGATGAGGAAAAAATTATGGTTGGAAAGAAACCTGACTGTAGTCAACTTAATAATACAGTTAAGGAAGAACCAGAAATAAGCGAGGAGCCTGCAAAGTTAAAATCGCCGAAAGTCGTCGAAAGTGAAGATATCTCAGCTTTGGAAGGTTTACTTGTTGTTGACGAAACGTTCACCAATACCACCGATGTCCAAACTGTGACATCAGATTCTGATTCGGTTCTATCTCCACTTACAGATCATCAAGACATTCAATTAATAAATTGTGAAACGACAGTTGAAAATGATTGTACACCGTCTACTTCCAAATCTAGTAAATTAAATCTGGCAAGTAACAGTGTTAAAGACCTTCAAGTTGTTATGTCAAGTAACTTATATTATTGTTTTTTTATCCTAATAATCACAAAAATTTAAAATTGTAGGTGATCCTAAACTTTGGACGATATTAGACAGTGATAGGTGGCCTTTAGCGAGATCTTCTACAGGTAGAAGGTGCAATAAATGCAAGGAATTGGGTCACATAGCACTCAGATGTCCAAATAAGCCAGAACCCAAATGCAAGTTGTGTGGACAAGGCGGCCATTACGAACCTAGATGTCCTAACAAGTTGTGTACTCAGGTAAGTGACAAACGTCGGAGCGGACCGCAGACTAAACACGATTTTTAGTGTGGCAGGCGAAGTCTGTATGCTACAGCTTATTGTAGCTCGTGTTTCAAGTTACGAAATTTTCAATGCCAATTGTGTTCTATGACAGGTCACGCAGTTGAAACTTGTCCAGATCTATGGCGACGCTACCATCTGACGGTAAGTAAATCTTGGGAAAGTTGCATACGTTTAACTGAAGTTGTGTTTAGACCACTGAGGGTCCGTTAAAAACGTACTCTGGACCTGCTTTAAAACAAAAGAAAGATTTGTGGTGTTCCGGGTGTGCTCAACCAGGTCACTTAGAACATATGTGTGGGTTTTACAAGTCGATGTATCCACCGACGGATCCGTTTATTAAAGGTTATACAGATGTATATGGACAAGAAAGAGTGTCACAGGAGGAGTCACAGCAGCCAGAACCCCGATTTACAAATCCTCGAAGCAACTTTCTACCAAACCAACCTCAGAATTATGTAATCCAAGGAGTCAACCAGAGATATAATTATAACTGTAATTATGACCAGTTTGCCAATGCGTTTATTCAAAATGGGGTGTTTGTGGCCAACCAACAAAATTTCTACACTAATCAGTGTGCGCAAGGAAATTATATGCAAGAATGTCCGCAGTATTCCAATGTATACACGAGCTTTTGTGACAATTTACCGAATTATATCAGTTTTGATACACAACCCCCAGTTAACATGGGGGTTTCTAGACCTGAACCAGCACAGCAGGATTTAGCGACTCCTAATGACAAGAAAGCTCATTGCAATAACATGTTTTTCTCTTCGTCGGGGAGAACATTGCGACAATTTGTCACTAGGGAATTGGCAAGATTGACCAAATTATCGTTTAATTTAAGCAGAAATGTAATGGAGTTGAAGAGAAGGCAGGTTCCACGAGGTTCTCGAGCACAAGCGGAATATTACCAATTGCTTAACATGGTGCTTTTTGGTATCTTTTGCTTCCACGATGGAAGATTCCATCTGAATAATTTGAAACAGCTCAAGTTGGAAAGAGATAAAGACAAAGTGGCTGTTTTTAGAAGACGAAAATTGCACAGAGCGTACTGTTTTATTTTTGGATGTGAAAGGCACGACGGTGTAGACTATAATGAACTTTTAAGCAGGATTTAATGAATTTTAATTTGGAATATTTGATTAATTTTTTGTTGAAATAAATACATTTTTTTATTATATTGTTTTATTTTCATTTTGTAAAATCTAGTTAATTATGGAGAATTCTTTAAAGTGGCCATAAGAATTTGGAAGGTTTAGCACCCAATTAAGAGAGGGCGGTATTAGCAGAATGCCAACTATCCGAGCAATCAGCTGATCAGAGATGACATTATTTTCCGAAGCCGACTATGCATTATGACTGAGGGAGACAGACTATTGGTGAAACTTATGTCTCCGACAAAGACAAACAGTAGTGTAGAAAATGGCAGCAGTAGGTACAACAAATTTTGATTGTTTAGAAATTAAAACACGTAGTATAGAACAAACCCTTCTTCCTCTTATTAAACAGGTAATTTTGTGTTAGCTGCTTTCTGTTACGTAAGCTTTAGTTATTGCTTTATATATTTTATAAAGGTTTAGAAAATGTGTCTATCGACATGGGTGTGCACTTTGACAGCTCTCAATAATCGTGCTAGCAGTTATAATTCAATATTGTTATGAATGAAAACTTTGTTGCTGTTTATTTATAGCATTGTGTATAGGTATTAGATGACCGCTATGCATAAAATAGCTTGAATTTTTTGAGATAAAGCTGTTTGAGGTTATGTGTTTTGTTTATTTGAAACATGTGATTGTTTATACGCAAGCGTGCTTTATTTATTATTAAACGTTCCTTAAATAATTGAAAGACAAAATAAACCCATCGCGTTTGAATCAAAACAATGTCCTCGTTATTTAACGACTGATTCCTTATTAATTGATAATTGACATTGGAATTGACGTCTTGACGTCACTGCAAATTGACGTGATGACAGGTAACTACTAGTAAGGCCCTTTCAGAACACTTTGATTTTTTAATCATTTTGCCCTGTTTTTCAAGGTAACTTTTTAATAAAGTTGAATTTTTAAGAAATTACCATTTTTCTAAAGGTACAATGGCGAGCATTAAATTTTAGTAGTAAATTTTAGTAATTCCCTAATATACCCTCTTGTCAAAATTACACAGGGAAACCACTTTTTTTGGCAAAAAGATGAAGTTTCCAAATTACATTACCCACCAAAATCTTATGCTCGTCATTGTACCCTTTTAAAAAAAGTCAACATTTTAAGGAAAATATCCCGTTTTTTCCAAAAATGAACAGGGTTTCGTTCAAACAACTTTTCCTTTTAAAAACACTTATTAGTTTATTAGAAATTTTGCCCTGGTTAGAGACTTTTTTACTGTTAAGCCCCCTACAGCACACTGTTTTTCAAAGTACTGTTTTTAACTTAAAATTTTAAGGAGTTTACACTGTTTTTCTGTTAAATATGAATACAATTTCGCCCAGCAAATTCGGATATGTTCTCATGAACGAAGCGAAAAAAAAGCGTCGAGAAACTAAAAGGTGCTAAAGGATTTCCCCACGCGTGTGTCGGATTTACACTCGGGTCTAATTCGAAGAATAGAATGTTGTATTCAACTGGTTTGGGTGTAAATCGGTCGCTTTATTCCACCTCGTGGATAATAAACCACTCGTTACACTCGTGGTTTAGAAAACCACTCGGTGAAATAATGCATCCGATTTACACTCAAACTATTCTACATAAATAATTATTTTGTTATCCCTGAGTCATGTAGAGCCTAAATCTGTCAATATCTTGATTTCGAAAATTTGGACGATAACAATACTTTCTCTTCTTGAAAAAGCGAGAAATTAAAAATTGAGCGTTGTAACAAGTAAAGTGTAAAATTGTACCGAAGCTGTGATGGGAATTAATTGTAATAATGCAACACATATAATTATAATATACAGTGGCATTCTTTTATTAGTGTACATAGCCCTATGTATACAGGGTGTTTCACACAACTTTACGAGGCTTGCGCCTAATGTACGCACACAGATACACAAAAGTCACAAAACACTAGATACCAAAAATACACATTTTATTATTCAATTTTTGGAAACCCATGATAGTAGTTGTCAAACTAATCACTGATTCATTAATAGTCATAAACTGCAGTTTTTCAGAAACAATTATCAATTGTTCTATCAAGAAACGGCATGAATATGATTCTAGTTTATCTATCTTAATCGCTAATTAACTAAAAACGTTGTAATTTTTGAAAGGGGTGAACAAACTAGAGAAGATTATTCAATTTTTCAAAATTTGTAATCGAGTTCGTATCGGAATATGTATTATTGATTGCATCTCACAGGCGTAGGCCTTGTAAAATTACGTGAAACACCCTGTACATTTAAAAAAACCGTGTCAATTTCAATGTTACTATGATTATGATTAGTCATTAGTCTAGGCATAGACAACCAATATTACAAAGCATTTTACAAAGACTATAATATCGATATATAAAAGACAAACTTTTAAAGACAACAAAGTAAATGTAATTAAATACAAGGTGATTCACGAGGAATAATGAGCCATATCAAATTCATTTTTGGAAAAACGGGGTATTTTCTTTTAAATGTTGATTTTTGTTGAAAGGGTACCTTTGGAAAAACGTTAAATTTCTTAAAAATGTAACTTTATTAAAAAGTTACCTTGAAAAACGGGGCAAAATTCAAAGTGCTCTTAAGGGGCCTTACTAGTAGTCAGGTACAGCTGCGCGATTTTATTCGAATATAATGATCAGTCTTCTAGTCTTTAAGATTTTCTCTTTGATAAAAAAGTTGCTCTATTTGCACTTTGAATAAATTGATATTCATTCAAGACGGGACCGTCGTCCAATTTGAGTGGCCCATTTCTAATCAATAAGTTAGCTTTATAAGGCCTCGAAGATCGTAAATGGGCTTTATGGCAGACTTTTATTGTGTGGAAATTGTGGCGTTAACCGTTCTGCAGGATTCAGATTGAAAAGTTGATAAGTCGAAATTGCTGCTGACATTCGGCGAAAGGAGTTTCTTTATTGATTTGTAAAAAAAACTAAATTGTAATATTCGCGAACGAGTTGGAATAATCATGATTTCTAATCTGTATCAGTAATGAAAAAGTAAACCTTACATTTATTGGACAGTTAAGCAAATTCAAAAACACATAAAAGTCAAAAAAAATTAAAATTAGGTATTATGTTAAAAAATTTTAGAAAATATCAAAGAAAAGCAGTGATTTTTTTTTACATTGTTTATTAAAATGAGATTCTGCATCAAGTAGGTACCTATGTATTTTTAAAAGTTTTTTCAAAAGGCTTTATATTGATATTCGCAAAAGTACAGTTTTTTGGACAATATTTACAATTATTTGACGTTGGTTATTCAGTTATTTATTGAACGCTTTTTGAAATATTAAGAAATAGGTAGGCACTAATATTTTACTGAAAACAGGAGACTTGGATTGTCTAATAAGCATCACGCATAACAACTTTTTCGATATAAAATACTTGTACTTTTCAGATAGTTTATACTTATTTAATTCCCAAATACTTCAATAAAGTAAATAAACATTTTGCAACTTGTATTTTTGTTCATTTCTGTCAGAAATTTTTATCAAATTTTATAAAATATTATGTAGTTACAAAAATATTACTAAGGAATTGGAAAAAAGTGTTGTTCAACGCTCATGTTATTAATTAATTTATTAAGGGGGTAAGTAATTATTTTAATCTCTAAAATGTAGGTAATGCCAGAGGCGACCCAAAGGGAGCCGAGGGCATTTTGATTCGGGGGGTTAACGATGTTTATTCCAGCGATGCATACGAGAGGCATAGAAAAAATAAATGTAGTATTTAATTTTAAATAGAACGCAAGTGATCAAAACTTTTAAATTTTGTTCAAAATATTATTTTATACGCAAACGTCAGAAAAATTAAGTTTTATCTTTCAGACATGGGGTGAAAACATTGTATTTTCGCCTAAGCGTTTTTCACTTTTACTTGACATTTACCAATATTGTTTCTTTCGCTGCTTCAGCATTTTCTGGAGAGGTAGGTAGTGCAGATTTTCAGCATTCGATATTTTGCACTATAAACTACACTAGTTATTCACTAGTTAAATCAGTCAACAGTTGCGAAAATCTCAATACAAATTCCGAAACTGACGCGTGATGTTTGTTATGAAAAGCGTCCTGATTATTTTAGTGATTTACTTGATAATTAGTGTGTTTTTCTTTTCTCTCTATCTGAATCGTTTGCGGATAAAATAGTAATAAAATATAGTACAAAATAGTAATAGCGGATAAAAAGTGAGTTTATATTCACCACAAACAATCACTTTTACTCCTAATAACATAATATACTATTGACTGCTAATTAATTTTTTATTTTTATACGTTTAGTTTTTTAAAATTTTACAAAAAATTTGCAGGAAAACCGTCACTTACTTTATGTGTAACACTCACTTGTTGTCGAAAGAAAAACGCTAGAAACAAAAATGTTTGTCAGGTTTTATTTCTAACAATAAACAGTAGTAATAACCATGTGTATTGTTTATTTCTAAATTAGAAGTACGAGTATATTGAATGAAATAAGTAAGACTAACTAAGGAAAATTTTATGTTTTCCTTTGAGGTTTATGAAGAACTTTCAAAAGGACTACTAACTAGGACATGAACTGTTGGTTACTCGATTGACAAAATCGTTGTGTATTTGTCAAACTGTGTTTTTATGTTTGCAAAAAATAAAATAGGACATTATAAATATTGTGTCTAAAAGTATTATTACACAGCGTGAGACTTTAGCAAGAGTTAAAATTTATATAAAAATTAACTACATGTAAACTATACAATTTGTTAAGTCAGACAATTTTTGAACAAGATCCCCGTTTCTGGTTATGTTTTTCAGGCCGTTGCACACCATCTGTTGGTGGCGTTTTTGTTTATCTGAATCATAAATTTTGTGTTTTTAGAGTGTAATGTGAGCAAACAGGCTGTTATCTATCTACACACATACAAACATAATTATGTACCTACCTTTGTTTGAGAGCTGGAATATTAAATGTTATATTACTTATGCTGTAAATAGATAAGGAAGTTTTTGAAATATTTTTGTTGTTATTGTCTAACAAAAATCATGCACTACACACAAAGTAGCT